TTTTTTTTTTTTTTTTTTTTAACTCCATTAGTGCTCACTGATTACTTTCCTGAGGATAGCTAGAGCAAAGTACACACTGAATGCCACCTGTATCATAATTAAGGTCATTAGTGATATAGGGCCTAAACATGCGAAATCTGCTTCCTGCCTACTTCTGTTGGTTTAGTATAACAGCACCTGCAAACGCAGTGGAAGACCATTCAACATGTAGATATTAGTAAATGGAAAATTCCTTCATCAGCCATTCATTTGTCAGAGTCTGCATTTGTATTTTTGTGGCACTGAAGCGTACTGATGCACTGTGACAGATTCTCTCCGACACAGCGCATGCCATTCATTTTATTTCAGGCTTTCAGTTTTCATAGTAGGTTATGATTTGAACAGATGCCACTGAGATGTGGCAGAACAAAGTTCTTTGCACTTCATTTCGTCTTTAGCAGCACTCAAGTTTAGTATGAGCACCCTTGCTTTCCATTAGGAAGCTGCTGTAGACAAAATCTATTTGGAAGCAAATGCAGTTTGTTCCAGCAAAGTTCTGGAAGTGCTAATCTATTCTTGTAACTCTAGATTAAAGAGAATAACTAGAATGGGAAATGATCCAAGGAAATTCAGATTTTGAAGGATGGGGCATCACATGAGATGCTGCATGGTTAAAAATTTTGAAGATAAGGAGTCCGTGTTTCTTGGGTGTCTTCCAGAATTTGTCCCTGTTGTGACCAAGGACAAGTCACTTAGCTTCTCTCTGCTTCTCTCCCACCATGTTTTAAATGAGTGTACAGTTCCCTAGATTGCAGAACTGTGGCTCAATTAGAAGTTTGCAAAAAGCTGAGGCCCTCAGATAAAAGACATTTAGCCTCTATCTCTGCTTTTAGGTGCCCCAAAAGTGGCCTGGTTTTGGATTACAGGTAGAGTTGTGAGACGCCTGGCACTTCAGCAAAATCATGTTACGTATTAATATGCCATATTATAATACTGACTCAGGATGGGATTTTAGAGCTGCGAAAGTGGTATGGAGGCTCTGAATAGAACTTTTGGAAATACCAAGGGAATTAGGAATGGAAAACAAATTGGATATGAACATGCTCTTAATTTCCTTAGGTGCTTCAAAAAGGTGGCTTTTCATTATTTCTCATTTAAGGGGAACTGGATATCTAAAGACATAAGCAAGTATAAATTTTCAGTCTTTAGGTGTGTGCCTTTATCCTCCTACATATAAAACTTAGTCCCTGTGTGCAAAAATACTCTAAAATTTTCTTTCATTTGACTGCAAAAACAAATAATTCTTTTGGTCGCTGTGGAGGGGGAGAAGTTCCCCAAGATTTTTTCAGAGTAAGGATCAATTTGTTTCTAAGAAGACTACAAGCTGAACTTGCCCTACACACGACATTTCTGATCCAAATCCATTCTCACTTCAAAATCTTACCTGGTGGCTGGATTTTTGTCATTAATTTTGTAATCCCCAGTGTGCTTCTGCCTTCCAGTGTTTCAGGAGTCCAGAGCTATTTTGAAATAGTAGCTTCTGTAAGACGTCTCTCTAAGTTTGGGAATTTGCAGATCCTTAAACAAGTGCAGAGGCTGTTTGAATGAAGTGGGTTCATTCAGTTTACTCATGTGCTTAAAATGATAGTCAGATTGGGTCTTATTAGATTTGGTGGAGGCAGTGCAAGAAATAGTGCTGAAGATCGGGACTCAACCTCCAGCCCATGGGCCAAATCGAGCCTGCAGAGCCGTGGCATCCAGCCTGTGGGGGTCCCCATGGGTCAGGAAATTTGGCAACAGGGGAGTGGTGGAGGCTCTGTGTGGCCAGATCTGGCCCTGCGTGGGCTATTGAGCCCCCTGTGCATCCAGATCGGGGTGGAGCTGCACACCCTCTACTGCGGGTTGGATTGAGCCCATTGGCTGCATCTGCACCTGCAGACGGACCTGGCATTGCCTGTCTGGCCCCCAGGGTATCACTATTCTAAGTCTGTTACCCAGCCAAAGCTTAGCCCTGGTTTGGGGCCACTCTGATGTTGGAATAGACTCTTTTATACAAGATCCAGATGAGAGATCTTGATTACTTCTTGCCATTATGGTTCATATGGCATCTTTTCAGTAGGTCCTGGTGTTAAACCCCATGTCTTGTCTCCCTGCCAGACCTGCATGCACATTCTCCTCGTCTCAGATCCTGCCTGTGCATCCTACCAATTTTGTATAGTAAAGCTCCTGGGTGCTGTTACACTGCTGATACCCGCCACCCAACAGGAGAAGTCTTTGGGATTTGGGAATGAAAGGTACCTTATCAGTACAACTCACTGTGCAAAGAAAGATGATATCTGTAGTCAACAAGAGGAGGAAAGGGAAAAAAGCAAAGGTAAAGATGTGCTGCCATTTATTAATGTGAATGTCCTGATACTAATATCAGTACTGTATAGAGGACACTGCAATACATGCCAATATTATAGACAAAGCTCTGTTCAGAGAGCATTAGGGAATAGGACTAATAAAAGTGCTGTGCTATACAAATGGAAATAATAAACTCTGGATGAAATAAGACTGAGTTCTGGATGGAACTTAATTATTATCCTGGGTGATGCTTAATGAAACACATTAAAGAAAAATAATGCGGCTTTGATGTTGTACAATAACCATGTTTGCTAAAACTAGGCAACCTGTTATGGGGATTTATGTGCAAAATCACTGATTTTTTTTTTTTTTTTTTTGAACCCTAGAGATAAGTAGAGATTTGTCCTTAGAGTTAAATCGCTGTTCTTGATTAGACTCTCGAATGAAAAGGGTCATCAGTTCCTTCAGCTAAAACTGTTGTTTAGTCCCCTGCGTGGTCTAGTGCAGGGCTGTCCAACTGGCTGGCCACATGTGGCTCACAAGAGGTTAATTTGTGGCTTGTCCCCTCCTCCCCCC